GAAATAAACGTATTTTTTGTAATTCTGTTTTATTTACGAAAAATATTAATTTAATCACAATAGATGCATACTTCATTTGAGACATCTACTGCTTAAAACTCATTACCGTTTTTTCTCTTAATTAACAAAAATGAGGTACGCCCCAGAGACGTCACATCTGTATGTATGTAATAACTGTTACACGTCCGTAGTTACGTGTTAATAAACGTATTTTTTGTAATTCTGTTTTATTTACGAAAAATATTAATTTAATCACAATAGATGCATACTTCATTTGAGACATCTACTGCTTAAAACTCATTACCGTTTTTTCTCTTAATTAACAAAAATGAGGTACGCCCCAGAGACGTCACATCTGTATGTATGTAATAACTGTTACACGTCCGTAGTTACGTGTTAATTTTTCTTCTACATGTACCCATTACAGTGCAGTGTTAGTATTTGTAAAACTTTTACGAAAAAAAAAAATTGAATTCGTTTTTGCGCTAACCCCCTTAAACTCAAATATCACGAGCCGCTACTGTTATGTCGATTAGATTAAACATCGTGCATAGAAAAGAAGCATCAATGTATATATGAAAAATTACTGACAACATGAAGTAAGGGTTTAAAATTAAAAAATGCTCATAAACTAACATAATTATAAGAAAGTATTAATGCATCACAAAACCTAACAATGATAATATCGGTCAATTAGTATACACTTATTCAGCCATTCGATAATAAACTAATCTACTAATAAACTGATATGTTTAGTTTCTAAACTATGTAATTTGTGTTGAATTTTTAACAAATTTTTTGAAGGTCAACTTCATACTTTATCGGAATCACCAATGAAACTAGTTATTTGTAATAGATGAGACAATAACGTAGGAAACATACATCCTATTTTACTTAAGTATTGAACGTTAAATCTGATAATCAGAAAACTATTCGAAAAATATTCGAAATCTATTCAATGAGTAGTTATTAAATTACCAAAAGTCTGTATGAGAGAGAAGTCTGTAGAAAGAAGAGTCGATACATATATGATGGCAAATGTATGGTGCTTTTAGGTAATAAATATTTCATACGAGGCAAAAGTTCTCTAATTTCTAAAAAGATATAACATTATTCTGTCGCTTGGTTGATCGCGACAGTAACTTTATTTGCGTCCTCGACTTTATATATACTGTGATCATAAAGGCGGACTCCGACTACTCGTGTATTTGGCAAATATTTGTCACTTGCCTATATTCAATGTAGTGGGGGTGGTCCACTCGGCTATTACTTGTACAATTATTTATTACATGCCAAGTCCCACCGATTGTCGGTAAAAATGCTGTGAGTCAAACGGATTTCAATTATTGTCGTACTTGACAAGTTCATATTGCCGATGCCCTCCCACTACTTGCCGACCTGCTCGCAATTAATTTCTGTACTACTCTGAGTCACAGACCACTAATAACTAGACGTTTCACGTAGGTAGCTCAAGGTCAAACTAAACTTAATGTCATTTGTAGTACCGATACTAATCTTCAGACGTCGCTTTACTCTGTCTCTACTTTTACTCTGCAGTTTGGGTTTAGAACACAACTAAGAATTATAATTGTCAATGTCAATCGCCAATTGTCATATTAGCGTCTATATTTTGATTTTGTTAATTGTTAGTTTGTAAATTACAAATCACCTACCTCAGTGATCTATGTTTTAAATGTTCCTGGCGGTGTTCAAATAGTATTTTGCAGATTAATAATAATTAGTTAAATATGGTTTTTCACAATAAATGTTGTATCCTACAATGTACTAATTCGTCATTAATTAGACATACATTTCCAAATCCTGATAAAGACATTACACGATTTAGGAAGTGGCTTAGTGTTATAAATAATCCTAATTTAGATATGATGAATGCTAGTTCAGTTTATAAAACAAAACGAATCTGCCACAGACACTTTGAAGATAAGTTTGTTTCTTCATGGAGTCATAAATTGTATAAAAATGCAATTCCTAGCTTACATTTGTATGGTGAGTCCAATAAATATTTGATATTAGAGAACAAATAACTGATTGATGATCGATTTTAGATTCTTCTTCTAATGTACATCCGAGAAGTAGTTCAATGTTGAGTGGGGAAGCAAATGTAACAAAAAGTAAGTAACCCTAATATGTAATTAACAAACATTATTTTACCTGAAGTGAATCATGGTATAAATTATTAAATTAACTTTTGTTTTAGTTGAGAGTCCTTCAACAAGTAGAGATGCACAATCTTCACAGATGTTTCAATCATTTGAGATGCCCAATTGTAGTAAGTATTACAAAGATAATAGAATTATTATATATACATATATATATATATATATATATATATATATATATATATATATATATATATATATAGATAATACAAATTTTTTCATAGAATAAATCTCAATTGTTTTTTGACATTGAAATTTGTATTTTTTTTAGGTATTTCCAAACGGCCTTTGAGTAGTTTATTTATTTACCATGTTAATATGCTAACTGTAGAAATCTTATATTTTTGTTCCTGTGTAAATGGTACATGCATAAATAAATAAATACATTCAAGTATCTACTAAAGCAACTAAAATGAGTGAAATTAGAGATCTTGATATCATATTTTTACTGATCATTAGTTGCACACATAAAAAATATATCTGTTCCATAGTATCCTATTTATCCCCATAATTGGTCATTATAATACCAGTCATTAATTTATATTCATTCTTATATAATGTGTATTATGTGCTCTTTAAATTGAAGATATATTTAATGATTTGTAAAAAATCACAAAAGTCAGATCAGGTTTTTAGGTAATAAACGTACCAGTGATCCTATGTATGTACCAAATGAGGTCTATCAAGCACTACACAATAATCTTTACACTGCCACTGTTTTTTGTGACTATGCCAAAGCTTTGATTGTGTAAATCATGACATTTTGATAAAAAAAACAAAATTTCTATGGTATTTATTTGAATTGGTTACAATTTTACTTAGAGAATAGGAAATAACTAGTTAGAGCAAATGATACAGTTTCTAGTCACACAAGTGTTGTATGTGGAGTACCACAAGGTTCAGTATTGGATATCTACTTTTCCTTATCTTTATAAATCAGATCACCAACTTAAAACCGATGGAAACATTTTTATTTTTGCTGATGATACCAGTATTACCTGGAGAAACTCTAATATTGCAACTCTTCATGCAGCTATAACTTCTGATCTATTTAAAATAAAAACCTAGTCAGACTCAAATTTACTCCCTTTTAACGTGGATAAGACAGTAGCATTATCCTATAAATCTCTTCAATCCTTGCTTCTTAATAATAGCCAGATCAGTATAATTGATTCTGTAAAATTTCTTGGTATTTTTATAGTCAGTAACCTTAAATGGTCCCTTCATATTGATTTGTTCAGTAAGAAACTAGCCTCAGCCTGCTATGCAATAAGGTCTGTGTTAAAGAAAATTTAGAATCTTCCAAAATAACATATTTGTCTTTGTTTGAGTCTCATCTTCGATAAGGTCTTCATTTTTGGGGTTCTAGAACAGCTGCCCAATCTGACAGTTGTTTTTAAATTACAAACAAAAAAGAGCAATATGGTATCTTTTTGGTCTCGGTAAAATAACATAAGGCAGAAAATACTTAAACGCCTACATGTTTTTTCAGCAAGACCTAATCATGACTACTCCACCAGAAATTCAACCTTTAATGTGTATTTACTGATCCCGTCCACGGAGTTAGTAGAGAAATCTATATTATATTCAGTAAAAAGATTATACAACCATCTCCCTTTGCAACTTAAATCTGCAACTTCTTTCCTTGAGTTCCGTAAAAGAACAAAATCCTATCTATCTGAAAGATCATATTATTCAGTAGAAGAGTTTCTTAACGAATAGTGTTATGTACAAGTAACTAAACAATTTGTATAAATATATATTTGAGTATCACATGCAGAAACTTGTATTAAAATGTATTAGTTCGTAAGGATTTATTATGCAATTTATTTAAATTTTGCAATACATTGTGTATTTTATTATCTTTTATTTTGTGATATTGACGATTTATGTAATTTCAGTAAATTTTAAATTGCTATTTTTCTGACTTTTTTGTAAGCTTTTTCCATAAAATTGTACAATTTTCAGTGATAATAGCATATTTTTATTCTATATTAAATTACAAAGTTGTTTTATAAGTATTAAATAAATAAATAAATTACATTTTGTTTTAATTTTCCTAATTTGTATTGTGTATATTTGAAATTAAAAATGTCATGCATTTTTTTTTTCAAATATACCAAATTATATTTAAATATTTTAAACTTTATTTAAATTTTCCCACCAAAATTAAAATTTGAATTTCCCGCGTAATTTCTCGCTTGAATTAGTTCCGATACTAATCTTATGGAGCGCTGAATTTCATATCCAACTAAAGTATTGTCGTGGAACATCTAAGGAGGTAGGTGATCTGTGCTCTGAGTTTGGCTTCTGTAGCGCGAGCATGGTGTGTGTTATTGATGCTGTTAATTCTATAGTTTTGTTGTACTTGCCAAGTACTCCAGTATTGGGGTACTTACCAAACACAGCAAATTTCGAACTCAATTTTAAGTACAGCGCTCCCATTACTCGTGTATTTGAGAAGTACGACAATACTGGGGTACTTAAGAGTACAGAGTAATGCAGAAATTAATTGCGAACAAGTCGGCAGGTAGTGGGAGTGCATCGGCAAGTATGAACTTTTTAAATACGCAAATAATTGAAATCCCTTTGACAAATGGCATTATGTAATGATGTTGAGCAGTTAAGGGAAATTTAAAAAATCTACATTGTAGAAGAAGCTATGCTTAAATACGTAAAATAAAAGTGAATAAAATAAAAAAAATAATAAGAAACAAAGTATATTTTTCTGTTTTCCTCAAGCACAACTAGTTAACTTTTACCGTTTAATTTTGATAAGTTTATTATTGATCCCATCTAAAAACTTTTAACTACACTTACCTGATGGTGGAGGTGGAGCAACTGGTGGGGCTACAACGGGAGCGGCGGCAGGCTTAGGAGCTTCAGCGGCCGCAGCAGGTTTGGCAGCTGCTGGTGGTGGTGCTCCTTCACCAACGGTTAATTTGAATAAGTCTTGCCCTGGTTTCACCGTATCGCCGTCATTGACTAGAATTTCTGCTATCACACCTGCAGCAGGTGAGTGAACGGGCATGGCGGTTTTGTCGGTTTCGATTTCCATAACCACTTCATCGGCAGCGACGTAGTCGCCAACTTTCTTTTCGAGTCTATAAGAGAACAAAAAACAGATATTTTAGATGTACTGAAGTGTAAGTACATTAACTTATTAGACTAACGCTTTGTGATAGAATTAAGGTTATGTAAATATTGACCTTCAAAGTGACATAAACATATAACTTACTGTAGCACCCTGTTCTTTTATCTAAAGTTTGAAGTTTTCTAAAAGATAATAAAATAATCAACCGAAATGATACTAGGAATATAACCGAATATTTCTATGAAGAACTATAAGTACCTCCAAATACCGGAACCCAAAAACACAGACAAAAAGTAAAATAATAAATACAGGGTCATAGAAGGTTCTGTTTTTTTAAGTATGTTTCACCAGCTTTTCATTGAGCCTACTTAGAAGCGTGTGACATAAAAAATTTATTATTAAAAAGTTATTATAAATGATTATAGTCAGCCCTTTTTCAAACTGTTTTTTAATAGCCAATTGAATAAAATGTAAGTTTTTTTATATATCTTAAAAATAAAGCCTCAGAGAATCTATTGCGATTTACAAAATACCTCTAAAGGGACAAGTTTGGGCAAGTATAGTTGTTTAAATGCTTTCCGAGATAAACAAATTGAAATTGAATAACTGTTAAACTATTTTGTGGATGTGTTTTTTCTATACAAGTAAGACGCAGTGTATTTTGGTTGTCACCACTATAGTGTATTTTTATGTATGAGAGAGTAATAAAACAATAAATTATGTATGCAAATCCCTAAACTGTTGATACGGGTGACTCAATGAAAAACAGATATTTGTCAACAAGTTTACAGAAGTATATAGGAAAACAATTTTAAATTGAGTATGACCCCCAGGTATAAAGGTTGGAGCAGAATGGAATACAATAGTTGTGAGGGTTACTAATCCCTAAATAAGGTTGCCAGTGTCGGAGTGATGGAGGTTAACAGGTGCTAATGAATTTGCAAGAAATGTAAGATGTCAGTCCGAGTCGATTCCAATGCCTTTAATGCCACCTGACTATCCGATATCATTTTTATTGATCTGTTCCTGTAGCTCTTCTTTATTAGTTCTGCAGACACATCTCTATAGTATAAATTTCTGCTTGGAAGATAGGGACAAGTATGACCTCAATGGAGGCGGTTTGGGGTAGTTGACATCACTCCTGTTATGATTAAGCATGCTTGTCATTGAAGCTTATTCAGCTTTTCTCTTATCGGTTTATAAAGAAAAAATTAAGTGAGAATATACCAACACTAACGTGGTATACATGTCAGAGGCACATCATCTATAGCTAACAATAACAAAACACGTAACTATTAAGCACAAAAAATCAGAATTTGATATCAAAAATACTTCTGAATGATCTAGAAATGTAAGCATGGCTGGATGCCTTTAAGATTGAGACCAAAAAATCTGAAAAGTAAAGGTCAAGATTTCATTTACCGCCAATTGAATACAAAAACATTTGCAGGTTATATTAATTCTTTACAATTCTTATTTCAGGAATTTTTTAGAATGATTACCAGATTGTGTGTGTGTAGTTTTATTTTATGACTAGAGACATAGTCCATTATAGTGTATTTTTATGTATGAGAGAGTAATAAAACAATAAATTATGTATGCAAATCCCTAAACTGTTGATACGGGTGACTCAATGAAAAACAGATATTTGTCAACAAGTTTACAGAAGTATATAGGAAAACAATTTTAAATTGAGTATGACCACCAGGTATAAAGGTTGGAGCAGAATAGAATACAATAGTTGTGAGGGTTACTAATCCCTAAATAAGGTTGCCAGTGTCGGAGTGATGGAGGTTAAAAGGTACTAATGAATTTGCAAGAAATGTAAGATGTTTATTTTATTGGTTATATATAACCAATAAAAGTTTAATAAGTACCTACCTATTTGCAACAGATAAAATAAAACGTTTTATTTTATCTGAAATGAGTGCATTCCACGAAGTAAGGGTTTCAACAATCAAACATTTAATTCTTTAATTCCCGGAATCTACGACAGTAATTGACTAGATAATTACCTTCTAAACTTATTCCACAGAAAATATGATAGTGGGTTTTTCCATTTTGTAGGAAGGTCCAAGTTGCGTATTCAAAATTCTTAACAGTTCACTAAAAGTACGTACTTCAGTTGCAAGGTGCAGTTTATTGTGTATACTAGTGTTATGGAAAATTTGGAAGTGCCGTGTAAACGCCGAAAAATTGGTCCTTTAACAGTTAATGAAAAAACATTATTATTTAATTGTTTTAAATCATTTACAGACAAACGTTTATGTGAAAGTGTTGGATGAGACCGTTGAGTTAGTTAGCAGTACACTTGGTGTTGGGAAATCTACGATTTACAGAGTTATTAAAGAAGAGAAATGTGGTAGTTTTCAAATGCCACGTAATGCTCCAGGGAAACCAAAATTTCAAATATAATATCATTTTAAAGAAGGACTTCGACGGAAAGTGCATGAATTCTTCTTTAGACAAAAATTTCCAACATTGGATAAAGTTCTTGTCTCAGTTCGATATGATAAGGATTACCCAGAAATGAGTCGAAGTACGTTATGGAAACTTTTAAAAGAAATAGGCTTCCGCTGGAAAAAGAATCCCAGAAAGTCTATTTTATTAGAAAGAAGCGATATTGGCATATGGATAAGACATTTTCTAAGAACCATAAAGGAAATGAGAAACCAAAAAAGAAAAATATTTAATCTTGATGAAACATGGATCAACGAGGGTCATACACCAAATAAATTTTGGCAGGATGAAACTGTTACAAGTCAAAGGCACGCTTTTGTAAATAACTTATCTACTGGTTTAAACCCACCATCAGGAAAGGAACGCAGGCTGATAATAGTACACATTGGCAGTTCAGACGGTTTTGTTGAAGGTGGTTTATTAACTTTTGAATCAACTCGTACCGATGACTACCATGAAGACATGAACGCTGATGTCTTTCAAGAATGGTTCGAACAAATGATAGATCTTCTTCCTAAGAACTGTGTAATAGTAATAGATAATGCAAGTTATCACTCCAGACTTATAGAAGGACTGCCCACAACCAAGTGGTTAAAAAAAGACTTGCAGAATTGGCTGAGTTCAAAAAATATTACGTACCATCCCGGATCTATAAGAAAGGAACTTTATTCGTTGTGTGCCCTTCATAAAGAAAAATTTAAAAAATACGAAATTGATGAAATCGCCAAAAATCGTGGAATGACAGTACTTAGATCCCCACCATATCATTGTGAATTAAACCCGATTAAACTGGTATGGGCACAGATAAAGAGTGAAGTTTCAAGAAAAAATACCACTTTTAAAATTCATGATGTTAAACAGTTGTTTTTGGAGGCCGTAAATAATGTAAAACCTGAAAACTGGGAAAAGGCAGTAAATCACACTATTAAAGAAGAGGAAAAAATGTGAAAGATGGACAATATTACTGATAAAATGATCGAGCCAGTTATTATAAATCTTGGTTCTGAAAGTTCATCTTCTGAATCTGATTTGGATTTGTAACAAGTAGCTGTAAGTTTTATATTAATATTTTTATTAATCTATTTAACATACCTTAGACGGTTTTAAAAACTCTTTTTCTCTTTTGTAATTTTAAAAAATTTAAAAAAATGTGAATTTTTTAAAACCCTTTTTAATGTAGGCCAGTCAGTTCTAATATAGTGTGTGATAAAAGAGGTCACTTTTGTTTACATACACATAACACTTTATAACACTGAAATAATTCATTTATTTTTTACAATTATTCAAAGTAATTTTTCAATTAATCTTGAGCACGCCCATGGAGTGGTCGAAGGTACCAGTTAAAATTATGCTAATTACTCTCTCGTTCATAAAAATAAACTGTAGAAAACAGCTATAATAAATAAATAAATAATAAATACCTTTACAGTTTCTAGAACATCTAAAAGACTACAAATTGTTTTGTAATGTATTCAATTATATATTAGTTACTTAGTCTAACAGATCTAATTAACAATAAAAAATCTTTATTTTGTTGGCAACTAAATATTGGTACATAGAACAAAGAAATATTTTTAAAACGCAGCAGCATCTCCGTTAGACTTTATGACCACTCGAATACAGTTGGGCATTGACTAAGGATCTGCACTGTTCAGGGGTAAATTTATTCCAAAAATGTGCTCTATTTTTAGGTTAAGTTAATGCAATATATGCTGTGGGTTGCTCCTTAGTGTCTGTTTCCTTTTATGCCCATACTGTTGCAATAACATTTAGGTCAGGACTGTTAAAAGGCCAAGAATGGACGTTTATGATGTGGTTTCCAGTTTTTTGTGGTTCTGGCCTTAGGACAGGCAGCTACGTCAACATTTATTTTAAAAATGTTTGGTAGTACGCTGTTTTGAAATAGGTATTTGTTGATATTTCGCAGAATTTACGATACCCTCAATAAGTTCAGAACATCCTAACTCTGAAACGGCCATACAACCCCAAATCATCAGTCCTTTAGGACATTTTCTGTACATTTCCAACAATCCTTTTGAAAAACCTCATGCTTAGTACGAATAACTCGTTTGACGTAATCACCAACACATACGTCGAATTTGGATTCGTCGCTAAAAATTACTGGGGTCAAACTTCTACCGGCCAAGTTTACCGTTTATATTTTACTTATAACGAGTCTCGTTTGCTTTTGTTTCGGTGATCTCGATTTATGTATCCACTTACGACAGCATCGCCTTGAAAAATTTAATCCAGTTTCATAATTGCATTCGGATGTAACTTTCCTTTGAGTATTTCTTCGACCTTTTCTGCAAACTTTTACTAATATTCTCCTATTATTACCACAAACCGATTTTGGGCGAGCCGGAATTTTACCTTTTTTTATCTAAGACACTTCATGTTTCCCCATAATGCTTAATTACATTTATCACTGTAGTTGTATATAATTTTTAATAATCAATTCATAAATTTTTGAATCTGTAGAGATACCACGCACCATTTTATTGAAATAATACAGCTATTCACTCAATTTGACAATACATTATATATATTTGACAATATATACTTCTCAATATTTATGGAATGGAATGGATTCGAGAAACCTGAACACGGTGAGTCTAAGAAAATGGAAGCATTACAATTGTGACTCTTTAGGACAATACTGAAGATATTGTAGACAGAATATAAATAATAGACAGTTGCAATACCTAGCATTTATTTTGCGAATGGATAAAAATCGTTGAGGTTGAGGGGTATATATAAATATGGAAGCCGGGGAACAAGCATGCTTTAGAGTAGAAAGGACAGATCGCCTGTTTTAAATAACCCAATTGGTAAAAAGAAATCAGTTTTTAACCAAGAAATTCACTTGCCCTACGTGAATTTAAAAACTACTACTACAAGTGTGGAAAGCATCGAAGGAAACAAATGAGACCATTAGAAATCAAAAACTTCACATCAAACCGATCTCTACACAGAAGCCAAAATAAAAGATAGCGATGGAATGACGCAAGGCTTCACAGTTACTAGAGCTTTATAACAGGAACGATGCCTCTCACCCACGCTTTTTCAGATACCCTTTGAGACAGCATTAAAAACCTGAACGAAAGAAAAGACAGAAAATTAAGCATTGTGAAAAATTGGATTACTTGGAAATAAAAATGAAAAAACAAACAACGGAATATTAGACGAAGCTATAAAATATATATAAACATCCAGGACAGGAAAACTATATCACAACTAAATAGTATTCTACGGTACTAAACCATACCCAAAGACAACAAAAGACTAATTTACAACACCTTATCAAAAAGTATACTTAAGTTCGGTTCGGAAGTCTGACAAATTAAGAATATAACAGAGAAAATTTAACACAAACCAATTGGATATTTGGATTCAGATCATATTTGTAAGATCAGCTTGAACATCGAGGCGAGAGAAAATGCTAAATTACCACAACGTAGAGATTATGATCATAACCACATCGATAAACAGATACGAAAAAGTGGCAAAATAGAAGCAAAAGACAAAATAAAAGCAATGCAGACATGGAGAAATCAAAAAAACATTTAAGAGTAGCCGCCAATCTTCGCCGTGGAAATAAAACCTAAAGAAGAAATTATAAGAGATCTTTTGTTGGTTGTAGTTTCCGTAGAATCATAAGAAATAGATGGCGTATGGTGTACTTCGCTTAAATAATTATCTTTGTATAATAATTATACTATGTTTATTATTAATTGATTTGACACTTTTATCTCCTTCATCTGAAGTATTATGTCCCTGTAACCATAAATTGTATTATATTGTGTCTGATTCATTTATAAAACAAAAACATAACGGTAACCTAAATTTATCTGAGTCAAGCAGAAATTTGGATGCAAGCCAACTAATCTGAAGATTCTTGATATTATTTAAGATTACATACACTTTGAAAGATCAAGAATACAACAATATAAAAATAGCTATTAATATTACTTCAAACGATAATTGGTAATGACATTCAAATAATATTTTATTCATTAATAAAGAAGCAATACCAAATATTGCAACGATAATACTCCGTTTTGAACAGAGTGATGCATTAAAAAATCAAAATAGTCATAACTCATTAAAATGTTTTATGTAAACCTGGCACGTCTAAGTAAACTCTTAGTTAAAAGACATACATTGATTAAAATATTAAAGTAAAGACAATAAAAAATAAAGATTTTAATAATTCACGTTTGTATCATGTTTTTATCTATAAATATTTCTTAAAATAAAATTAGGTGCGTCCAAGTAAACATTTAAGTCTAATGAGATTTCTTATACATAATGCGTAGAAAGTGACATAAGACGTAAGACACAAGTATCAGTCACGTTGCAGTCTCGACTCCGTACAGAGAAGAAATATGTGCCTGTTTCTTTTTACTTCATATTTTGACTTCGTCAAGTGAAGATGACCTTCTACTAGAATTAGGTGATCTGGTAAGTAACCTCCTTTGAAACTAAAAACATGTTTTCTCAGAAAATTCTTTTATTTTATTCGATATAGTTTCCTTTTAGCTCAATATAACGATTCCAACTTCTTTCGACGCCGTCTAAATTAAACGATTCTGGAAACTCTGCAAAATACGAATGTGAATTGATATAAAACTAGCCTTTTGATAGAAAAAAACAAGTTTTAACTTGTTTTCTTATATATAAAAAAATCGATTGATTTCTCAACATAGTCCCCTTTTAGCTCGATACACTTAGTAAGACGATGTTCCAATTTTTTGTCCCATCCGAATAGTAATTTTGCTCGAGCTCTTCAAAATAGGCCGAAGTTTCAGCAACGACTTCATCATTTTTTGCGAAACGGCGTCCTCCGAATAATTTTTTTAGGTTTGGAAACAGAAAAAAATCAATGGCGGCAAGATGTGGGGAATACGGTGGATGTTCAACCAATTCATAGTCCAATTCGTGTAATTTTGCTATGGCGACGGTCGATCGGTGAGCCGGTGCATTGTCTTGTGAAAGAGCACTTTTTTGCGTTCCAAACCGGGACGTTTTCGATGCAATTCGGTATCGAATCGATCCAATAATGCTGCGTAATACTCACCATTGATTGTTTTTCCTTTTTACAAGTAGTCGATGTGGATGATGCCCTTCGCATCCCAGAAAACAGTCGCCATCACTTTGCCGGCCGAATGTGCACTCTTTGCCTTCTTCGGCGGCCCTTCGCCGCGTTTGCGCCACTGTTTCGACTGTGTCATATTGAGTTTTATCGCCAAAAGCGTCTTCGAAGTGGTCACACGTTTTAGTATTTGATCGATTGTCAGCAAACGCTGATGTTGTATACGCGTTCGTAGGAAATGTTTAGGACCTCTATTGACATTCGACGATCTGACATAATCATGTCATGGACTTTGTTGATCATTTCCGGCGTGGTGACTTCATTTGGTCTTCCGGGAGGCTCATCATCAAAAACACTCGTACGACCACGAACAAATTCAGCTTCCCAAAATTTTACTGTTGCTAACGAAGGTGCAACCTCACCATAAACTTCGTCCAGGTCGGCTTTGATTTGCAAATTGTTTTTACCCTTTTTGTGGAGGAACTTAATCACCGAACGATACTCGACTTTTTCCATTTCTCAAAAAACACAAAGTTTGCTTGCTTTTGACAACTGTAAAAACCAAACAATTGTTTTTAAAACTTAAAATTTTGACAGACGTCATGTCATGAATGGCAAATGTCAACACAGAAAACAATTCAGTATCAAGTAGCGCCGTCTATCAAAGGCTAGTTTAATATCAATCTATCCTCGTAGACGTTTGTTTCGTCAATGATCTCTCGTTTGAGCTGAATTTTTTATTTATGAGCCATCTATTTAGATTTGGGAATACATATCTAATAATCTAAGGAGAAAAAATCAGAAAAAATATGCCCAGAAACCCGCCAAACAGCCAAACACTGCTAAAAAATGGTCACACGATTATGTTTTTGATAGTAATGATAATAATGTTTGCTGGCCATGGACCGTTGTCGTCGTCCATGGTCAGTAAACGTGGCACCCATCGGCAGAATTATTTTTTCTTATTCAAAACTTCATTCAAAATATGGCTAGTGTTCCTTGTGGCCTT